TAATCCCAGAGCTCTGGATGCAGAAGCAGGCAAATCTCTTAAGTTCAAGGCCCACCTGGTCTACAGAGGAAGTTCTAGGACAGTGAAGGCTACACAGAGAATCCCTATCTTGAAACAACAACAAAAAGCTATGCATAACTATGCACACCTATAACAACCCCAACATGAGGGAATGGTGACAGAGACAAGCAGATCCTAGGAGCTCGCTGGCTAGCCAGCCTACCCTAATGGGAAGCTTCTGGTTGAGTGAAAGACCCTGTCTTAAAGGAGTAAGGTAGAAAGTGATAAAGAAAGATAGTCAATGTCCTTCTATGGCATACACACAGAAGACAGAGGAGGAAGAAAAGGAAGAGGAGGAAGAGGAAGAGAAAGAAGAAGAAAAATAAAGAAGTTGTTACTGTCATCCTATATGGGGCTCCTGCACAGCCTCTCCTGTAGAATCTTTCCGTTTCTAAAGAACCACACCACATTCATGGTCTGGTGTCTTCCCTTCCACAGTAACTTGATTAAACTAACAGAGTGCAGAAGAGACAGTACAGGTTCCAGGCCTAGTTTTTGAGACACCTTACAAGTTCTACTTTTGTATACTCTGAACCATTATGTAAGAAGTTCACATGCACACCAGAAAAGGGCCCCAGATCTCATTATAGATGGTTGTGAGCCACCATGTGGTTTCTGGGAATTGAACTCAGGACCTTTGGAAGAACAGCTAGTGCTCTTAACCTCTGAGCCACCTCTCCAGGCCATTGTATGTATTTTAATTGCCCGCTGGCTTTGTCTGCACTACTACATTGCTTCCTCAGGGACCATATTCTTCTGTTTTTATAAATTTTCTTTATTCTTGGGAATTTCATACATGTATACAATGAAATATGACCATGTACATATACTCCCCACTTCCCTCTCCAACCTTTCCTGTATCTCCCCAACACATCTCCTTCTCAACTTCAAGTCTTCTTTTTCCTTTGTTAGCCTACAAAGTTAAATTAGCGCTGGCCATGTGTGTATGGATTCGGGACTATTCCCTGGAGCATGGAAAACTCACCAGTGGCCACATCCTCAAAAATAAAACAATTTTCCCTCTCGAAGAAGATATCAGCTGCTAACAGTTCCTCAAATAAGGAGGGGGGCCAGGAGAGCATGTCTCTCAACTATATCAGCATTTTAGCTGGATTTATCTCATGCAGGTGACCCCAGCTGTGGAGTTCCTGAATGTGACAGTCATGTCATGCCTGAAGAGAGCATTTCACATCCTCTGGCTCTTATATAGTCTACCTCCTCTTCTGACATCTTCCCTCATCCTTGTGGGTTGGAAGACCATCATTTAAAGCTGAGTATTCAGTCACTTCTCAACTTTGACCAGTTATGTATCTCTGTGTTTACTGCTGCCCATCTGCACAAACAAGCTGCTTTGACCTGTTTTGCTGTTAAGACAGGGTCTCCTAGGCTGCCCTCTAACTCATGACAATCCTCCTGCCTCAGACTCTTAGCCTCCTGAGTGCTGGGAGTATAAGCATGTGCCATCATAGCGGGCCACATCCATTTTTTTAAGTTGATAAATAACTCTAGGTATCCTCCAGCACTGAATAAACTCTCATAAACTTGATTAGTACAAATTAAAAATGTCTACAAAAATAAAGGCAACAACAAATGTCTACAGTACTCCCTGTTATAGGAACAGAGTGGCTTGTATACACATCACAAGAAGTGATTTACTAAGTACCTAGACAATAGGTTCTTAATGACAACAGCTGGTCTTTGTGGAAAGATCGAATCAACTTGACTTTGGGCCATAATCCAAAAAAGACACAGTGTGAGAGCAGCAGAAGAAAATGGCTGATGGCTTCAAGTCTTGACAATTTTAGTAAGAGCAAAAGTCAATGTCATTCCAACAGTGTTACTGTGGGTTGCACTGAACAAGTGAATGGATGTGAAGATTCCAGCTTCCTCCACAATACTCACTCAATTAGTCTCTTGATGTTCCCAAGATTCTGGGGGGAAATAATGGTCCTTCTTTCCCCCTGGAGCATGAGAAACCCACCAGAGGCCACATCCTCAAAAATGCAATTTTCCCTCTCACAGCAGATATCAACTGCCAACAGTTCCTCAAATAAAGGGTGGTTCCTGGAGAGCCCCTCTCTGAACTTTATCAGAATTTTAGCTGGCTTGATGAGGTGCAGACCACAGCTGCTGAGTTCATGAATGTGATAGCCATGTCATGTCCTGAAGCCACTTCTTTCCTCCTTCTGGACAGTGTCTTACTAGTTATCTGACTGGCCAGGAACTCACAATCCATCTACTTCAGTCAACCAAGACTTACAATTGCTGGCATACGCCAACACCCCTGGCTGTAAAGCCATTTTGTGTATGGAGGCAGACACCTTATTCTCTGTTCAAACCTCTTCAACTAACTTCAGACAGGCCAGTATGTGCTCAATCCAATAATTAGGGTCTGGTGTTTGTGGCTGTGTGCAGTTAACAGATATTGTATCAACATATTTTGTGGGCTGATGGTCTGGGTTAAGTCCCATGTCGGACATAAAATGGGAAGCTGCCACCCCTGCCCCAAGGGAGAGAACCAAAGAGACTACACTTGCATAGATGAGATAATTAAATAACAGGACAACATATAATTACTGCTAAACTGTGTAGTAAAAATTAAGGACTACAGGGATTGGGAAAAGCAGAGAGGTGGTGAGAGCTCAGGAGTCTTCACGGCAGACCTGAGATCAGGCTGAGCCTTGAGGAAGAAAGCCAACTAAAGGCAGCTGAGAGGAAGAAGAGCCCGGAAGACCCAGAAGGAGCAGAGCCAAGCCAGCACTTGTTTTATTTCAGGCAGCACATGGACTATGAAAGGTGGCTGTCCCAACTCCTCAGGCAAGAACATTTCTGAATAGCTCCCCATGTTCAGGCTCCTGGACTTTCATGTGGTTTCTCTTGCTTGCAATGCCCTTTCTCCTCCTAATAAACTTACTCAAGTTTAAAAGCCCCAACTCAAATGTAAACAACATGTCTGAATCCTTCCATGCTATATTCCCCACCCACTGCTCATGCTTTTATTAAAATACTATTTATAGTTCCCTGCTTAACCTCCTCCACCACCATAATTAATACTGACTTATTTCTCGGACACTGTGTTCATTCCTTCGTAAACAGTTATGTTGTTTTGACTCTCACAACTGCACAAGGTATCCTTTTCCCTAGTTTACAGATAACAGACTTAGTGTGCTTTCGAACCTGCAACAGTAACAAAGCCAGGAAATCAGAAAGCTAGTATTCAAAGTGGCATTTGTGGGACCGGGGCCCATTTGCTTTTTGTTGGTGCTGGAGACTGAACTTGGCCTTGTGCAGGATAAGCCTGGCCTCTGACTCTGAGACCCCTACAGACCTTGTTCTCTCTTTTTGAGACAGGATCTCACTTTATAGCTCAGAATGGCCTGGACTCATTATGTCTTGAATCTGTGATCCTCCTATCCCAGCCCCCAACTACTGGAATTAGTGTCAAGATTCTACTTTTTTGAGACAAGATCTCATGTAGCCCAGGCTGGCCTAGAACCATGTAGCTGAGGACGTCCCTGAACTACTGATCCTCCTGCTCCACTTCTAAAGGGTATGCCGCTATACCCCACTTCAGCCTACTCTTAATGTACTGGAGCCATGAATTTTTGGAGGCCACAAATGCTGTCTATCAATCTGTCTTCTCAGATCCTAGAATGGTGGCTGACATATGGCTTGAGGTTGTTTAACAGATAAACACAACTTTCACTCCACATGCCTGGGTCTAAGAGTAGGTACAACCAGTACTCTTTTACCCCAGACACTTCCACCCACCTAAAAGTCACATATTGTGGGGAAGGAGAGAGGAAGTCTGAACACCTCACTTTTTCTCCCCAAAGGACTCCAGAGTGATCAAAGTGGGACCAGTTTACAAAAACTAGCATTGGCTGCAACTGGACTGGAGCGGTCACACTGAAGAGGGCCGTGAATCTTTAGGTATTTTGAAAGGAACAACCAACCACTCGAAGGTCTCAGCCTGGGGGTACAGGAATGGGAATAAATAGTCAAGGTTGCTCTAGTTGATCCTATCCTTGCAGGGGCCCAGACAACAGAATGTCAGCAGTTGAGGGCACAGGGAAACAGCGCTACACTGTTAACTTTAGCAGCCCGCAGTCTCCTAACTTTTTTTTTTTTTTTCTTCCCCTGACTTCTAATTTTTTAGGAACTTTGATTCAGGCCAAACTAGGATTCCTGGCTTACAGGCCAAAAAGATTTCAGGACTAGCCAAGGTGATGAAGATCTGGAGATTTTATTAGAAATAACTTTAACATAGGCCTAAGCATGAGGCTCAGAAGGCAATACCAACGTGGAAATATGGACTCCTCAAGGGAGAGTAGCAATTGTCTTCGTATTAGCCATATACCTCTTTGGTGGTTAATCTTAAAATGTCCCTGAGAACCATTCCACTTCTCTCTCTCTCTTTTGTTAAATCAACTTTATGAGTGGTTCATTGAATGGAACTGTAATCTGATAAAGTAAAAACCAGGTGCCACTAGGTTTGCACAAGGTAAGTTTGTCCTCTATCTGTAAACTGGGTTTCTAGTGAAATTTCTAGAGAAACAATAGCTTATGGCTGAGAAGAGAGAAAACGGTCTTAAACAGCTGCTAACTGTGCTGGAATTCTTGCCCGGCCGCTGGCGAGGATTTTCTCTGCCTTTCATTCCTGCCTCGTGGAGAGTGTAAGTGTAAAGAGAAACAAAGCCAGCGCTATAACCTGGGGGCAAAAACCTGCCCTGGGTACTTTAGGCCACTAATCGGTCACCATCCGGGATCCCCGTACCGTCGTGTCTCCGCTTTGGCGACACCGGACAACACCTTGTCCCCGCATCCGCATTACGTCCTTGTAATTCTCACCTCGCCAGCGCCAGGCCCGCCCCACCCGCCACTTCCTCCCTAGAGCGCCATCCTTCCGGCAGGACTCATTGCTGATTGGCTGGCTGGGGACTCGGCCGCTGGGGACTGCGCCGCGGCCGCTGCGGCGCTTGTCCCGTCCTTTGGCCTGGACCTGGCGGCTGCGAGCTCTCTATGGTGCTGGCAACGACATGTGGCGCCTGACAGGGCTCCTGGGGCGAGGTAGGGGTCGTCAGCAAGGCAAGTTCCAGCAGGCGATTGACTCGGAAGTGCAGTGAGCCGTGATCTGTGGGACCATCGCCGTAGCGGCAGTGGGTGGTGTCAGACCCGTGGAAGGAGGGACATAGATAGGGGCGAGGCTCAGTTTGAGGCATCCGGCGCCTTTGGAATTTGAGATGAGGTTAGAACAAAGTGGGGGGAGCTCTGGAAGGGGAGGAGTCAATGAAAGAGCGCCAGTGGGAAGCGGGTAATGTAGAGGCACGTGCTTTGTACTGTGAGAATGTTTGCCTACAGATGTGACCTTCTAGAACAGGAGTTACCACTTGCGTCAGAACTCTGCGAGAAGTTTTTCCAAATAAACATGTTTCATCCTTAGAGGTCTTGCTTTATTAGTTCTGGGATGGTGTTACCCCGGGATGCCCTACGTGGCCAAAGATTTCTGTTTGTACCCTGATTTCAGAACCACTGCCAGGGCTTGGCGCCCAGGCTTAATGGTGGAAGGCTTGTCTAGAATGTTAGAGGTCCTGGGTTCCGTCTCCAGCAAACACTGCACAAACAGATGTCAGTGAATCCTGGGCTCCCGGGATAAGGCTCCCTCACAGACTGAAGACTATGGAGGCCATCTCTATGCAATCCAGCCCTTTTGGGATGACTGACCCTTTTTATTCCCACAGCTCTTCCCCGCCTGCTGGGACCTGGCTTCCGAGGGCTAACACCCAGGCCCACCACTTCAGATGGGCCTCAGACAACCACCACCCTGCTGCTGTTCCCTAGGCCTAACCTTGACAGGTGAGAGACTGAAGTTCTGTCACATGTGGCCTCCTGCTCCCATTTTGTACAGAAATGTAATAGATTCTAATTGTGTCATCTAGGTCAGGCTCCCAAAGTCCAAAGAGGAGCAGGGACCCAAAGTGCCATGGATGGAAAGATGTCTTTCACAGGATGTCTGCTCATGTCTCCCCAAACACTCTGCAGGATGCCATCTCCTGGGTAAGGCTCCAGTCCTGTACCTTCCTAGTCCAGAATGATCTTTCATGGGACAACACCCTAATGTAGAAACAAGAGCAAGAGTGTATCCACATGTGAGGCCTGTGACCTGAGCATGTTCACAGAAATATTGCCATCCCTCCAGCCTCTGCCGTGCATTTGTTCTTCTCCATTTGTTCTTCTCCATTCGATAGACATTTATTTAACACTTCTGAGTTAAGTACTAAGGACACAACAGAGAACAAGAAAGATGCAATTCTTGCCTACATGGAATTTAGCATAAACAATAATAAATTGCTGATAGATAGCATGACTTCCCAACGTGAACTGTATGCTCACATTATCTTGTTTAATTTTTACAAAAATCTTGCGAGGAGAATTTAACCCTCAGTTCATATACAAGGACACTTGGGTTAGTAATGTACCTGATCTCACATGGCCCTTAAGTAGAACCTGATTTTACTGGCCTGACATTCAAACTTTTCCACATGGTTGCTTCACCTAGTTATCTTGTAGAATAACCTAATGCATAATAGCTGCTCAGTAAATATTTGTTGAACTTGATCTCTAAGGTCAGGGGTACATCATAAACATTAGATCTCATGCCAGGTGATAGTGGTGCACACCTTTAATCCCAGGCAGAGGCAGGTGGATCTCTGAGATCGAGGTCACCCTGGTCTGCACAGTGAGTTCCATGACAAGCAGGGCTACACAGAGAAGCCCTGTCTCAAAAAACAAAACAGAACAAAGCAAACATTAGGTCTCATAGGGCAGAATCTGGATGCATAGGCAGTGTTCCGTGTAGAGATTCTAGCTCTAAGGTATTCTGAGGGAAACGGACGCGCATTATCACTCTCAGCTCTACTACATTCCATCCTCGTACTTCATGCTGTGTACTTTGGACAAGTGACTTGACCCCTCTGAGCCTCACTTTTTTTTTTTTAATTAATTTTATATGCATTGGTGTTTTGTCTGAATGTATATCTGTGTGAGGGTGTCAGATTCCCTGGAACTGGAGTTGCAAATAGTCGTGAGCTTCCATGTGGGTTCTGGGAATTGAACCTGGGTCCTCTGGAAGAGCTGTTCTTAACCACTGAGCTATCCAGACACACACACACACACCTTTTTGTAACCTGCAATTTGGTGTCATCAGCAGAGCCGAATGGAATATCTCTTTGATACAGACATGGCTATCTGGGTTTCTGTGGACCAGAGGCAGATTATACCATAGAGAAGGGAATATTTTTCCATTTTGTCAAAGATCTGAACCCTAGATCAATTCCACATCAATTTCTTTAGAGAACTGGCGTAGATCCCAGAGGTGCCATCTCTAGGTGTGTCACCACCACACACATGGAAAGTCCTGCACACAAACTGTCTCCAACACTGTGTGTACTTCACCTTGCTTCCTAATGATGGTATCTTCCTCCTGGTTGCAGCTCCCTCATCCGCTACATAGGGAAGCTTTTTAGTACTCTTCCCTCTCAAGCTCTGTGTAGCCTTCTGGTTTGGTTTCTTCTTGATGTTTAGCATAATTGTTAGGTTATTGTATTTGTTTCTCTGTATGTTTGGGTTTTGCCTTTTTCTTTCTTTTTTTTTGAGACAAGGTTTCTCTGTGTAGCTTTGGCTGTACTGAACTCAATTTGTAGACCAGACTGGCCTCGAACTCAGAGACATGCCTGCCTCTGCCTCTGGGAGTGCTGTGATTACAGGAGTGTGCCGCTGTGCCCGGCTTGGTTTTGTCTTTTTCAACCAAAGATAGAAATGTCATGAGGGCACAGGCACTGTCTGTCTTACTTGCTATGGTGCATAGTTCCTGTGGCAGCAAAGAAGTATTGGAGCGTCTCCAGCACAGCACAGGAAGATAGGGATGAGCAACTCAGCTGTTCTGAGTCAGCTTTTCAAACTTCCACTTGTACATGTGTGTTCGTGGCCTTATTGGGGACTCACCTTGTCCCTGTATTTTAGGCTAAGCTCCAACTTACCACAGTACCTCTAGGTCTGCCTAGACCCCTGTAGTCTGTCCCTTACTAGCACATGCATTCAGCATCCATTTTTCTTTAGGTACCTACTCTCACTTAACACTACCCTGGGCTCCAGGGATACCAGAATGTGCGTGGTCCATGGTCCCTGCCTCTGTTATTCTTACAGACTAAGCAGGAGTGACAAACCCTAAGTGAATAATTGAAAAGGACCACAGAACAACAAAGGCCAGGCTCAAGTGCTGTGAAGGTACACAGTGTGGAGCTGCCCAGGTCGTCAGGGAAGGCAACCAAGCAGATGATGATTGACTGGTGGGTGCTGTGTTCCTGATGTACCATTTTCTTTCCCAGGGCACTCTGGCCGTGCTGGCCCTGCACCTGGCGAGGCAGATCCACTTCCACGCATCCCCCGTAGCAGGACCTCAGCCAGCTGAACGCAGCTCTTGGCACAGTTCCCTGTACCGCTTCCTCTCCTCTTCCTGGTGGCACCCACACTCCTGTGAGTTCTGGACCCTCAAGGGGCAACTGGGGCAGGGTGGGAGTTTCTCTGGGCCAGGAAGTATCTCTGGCCACACCTCAGGAAAAGAGCCATCACAGCAGCTCTTTGCCTTTCCTTTCTGAAGTCAGAGGAAGAGGAGTGTGGGGAAGTGCCGTCCACAATGGGCGTGGGCCATGCCTGCCCCTCAGTGCTCATCAGTGTCCTTCTATCACCTCCCAGAGAGGAAGCCCTAAGGCCCAGGCTACTTTACACCATGGGTGTGGCTTCCTTCCCAATCCTCAACTAATTAGGTTCAGTCCTGCAGTCTGAACCTGTGAGGGAGGTGTCTCAGGAGTTTCACAATTTTTCCTCATCAGTAACTGAATCTGTTGAGTGTGCATTTTGCACGTAGCCTGCTCTAGAGTAAGAGTTCTGAGCCCACAACTACTGCTTACTAATTATTCTTGTGTCCCCGAAGAAATCAGTTTTAATATCCCCACACCTCAGTTTCTTCATCTGTAAAATGGAGTAATAATAAATGGTACAACAGGGGTTCCTTGGGAAGACCAAATAAGTTACTATGTGTCAAGGACTTATCACATAGTATGCACATAGTATTATTGGCTAGAGTATTGGTTCTTGCCCTCTGATAACAGATTGTCAGTGTTAGCATCAGGTAGGGAGCTGGCTGCTAGGCTACAACAGTGAATGAGGTAGGCATTTTCCGCCACTGCAAGAATTCAAGTGATTTGTGCTTAGGAGAAGTATGGATAAGATGGGTCAGCATAAGGATGGGTGGGTCTCTGTAGAGGAAGGCCAGCCATGTAGGAGTGGATAGGGAGGTCTCAGGAGTCACAATTTTTCCTCTGGCCTCCCAGATCTCAGAGAGGACTGACTGGGCCAACTGCCCTTGCCTCCCCTTCCCCCCCCCCCTCCCCCCCCCCCAAGAACTGATTCCTTCTCATCTGACCTTGCTGGCTCTCTCCAGCGCTTCGGAGGCATGTTCTTCCCAGGCCTGACTGCCCAGCTCCCAGGAACGCTGGCCTCAGGGAACCGAGGCTGGGCCAGGAAGCACCCCCAGCTCTGCCCCAGTGCTTTCCTGCAGACAGCTCCCTGAGAGCTGACCTTCTGAACCTATCTGAAAAAGGTGAGACCTCACTTAATACCTACAGAGCGGGGTGGGGCTGTGGGATGGATGAACCTAACACCCACAGAAGGGGGAAGGGCTGCCAGGTGGACCTCTGTTGCTCTGTGTGCCCAGGTAACCAGCTGTCATTCCTGTGAGGCCTCTTGCTTTCTGGGGTGACTGAGAGTTACAGGACACAAACAGGGCAGACGAGGAGAGAAAAGAAGGGAGAAATCGCACCCTTCTCTCCATGACTGCTTTTCCTTGCAGAGCCCAGCGACTTTGGCTTTCTGCATGACATTGGGCACTTCACATCCCAGGCAAAGGCAGATGAGGCCCACCCCACTGGAGAAAAAAATGTACGGTTCAGGTTTGGTACCTTGGATGTGCACCCCACTCGGGGGTGGGTAGAGATCCAAGTGAACCATACCCTGATGTTGCTTCCTGTTTCCTCTCCAGGAACAAGACAAGCCCAAGGCTCTTCCCCTAGAGGAGGCTGTGACTTACATCCAGCAACTCTTTCAGCTCAGTGTTGCCATCGCTTTCAACTTCCTGGGTACCTGGTTCCCTGCCTCAAGGCAGGAGAATGAGTAACATGGAAAGGACATGGGCTGGGTTGAATACAGTCAGAATGGAGAACAGTTTAAATGAGAGGTTTATCTTCTCTCTAGTTCGTAGACTAGATGTGGCATAGTGCTTCAGTGGGGAGCCATCCTTACTTAGATAGGTTCAGCCAATTCTTTACTTTATTTTATTTTTTGAGACAGGGTTTCTCTGTGTAACAGGCCTGGCTGTCCTCGAACTCAGAGATCTGCCTGCCTCTGCCTCCTGAGTGCTGGGATTAAAGGCATGTACTGCCACCACCACCTGACTCATTCAGCCAATCTTAAAACTAGCTCTCGTCTTGGGTTCTGAATTAGTTATTCCAGCTCCTGCCCTCTTGTATATACTCTTGGCAGCTGAGAGGAAGGAGATAGTAAGCTAGAGCACCACTCCTTTCCTCTAAGGGCATGACCTTGAAGTTTCCCTCCATGGAGGTACATAAGCCACAGGACTTATAGGCTATCTGTTATAGAGGAGCGTGAAAAATGTCTTCAGTCGAATGGCATGTGCTTCCTTAAAAATCCTGTCCTGTGAAGGCAGAAGAAAAGTGAGGGCAAAGGTCCTGAGGCAGCGCTGAGCTTTACTTGCTAAGGGACAAAGGAGAGATGAGCCTGCCTGCACCTTAGGGCTCACAGAAAGGAAGAGGGATGAAGTCGGAAGCAGGCAGGCTACAGGTCCAGTAAAGTTTTCTGAGCCCAAGAAGAGAGAAGGGATTTTGTGAGACAGGAAGCCACTGGAGCAGGAAGGATGGTCATGTGATCTGACATACTTTTCCAAAGCTCTGTGTGCCTATTTACAGGCCAGCATGGGCTGAGGGGGCCAAGAAGGGAGGCGGGAGACAGGGCAAGAAGACTTGCTTAGAACTAAGCACGAGGAGATGAGGGCTTAACCATTTATGCAGGAAGCAGAGACCAGAGGAATAGAGGAAACCAGGTTACTATTGAGCAGGTGGGGACTTCTGTTCCTTGTGTCTTCTTCCCAAGAATAGAGGACTCTGTGACTGAAGTCTGGACAGTGACTTCAGGAGGCAGGGAAGTGAGTTTAACTCTGCTTGCTGAGTGGAATGTGGCTTTTTCCTGGCTGGCTTTTTATGACTTTGAGGGACAGGTTCTTCTCAGAACCCTCTTACCCATTCCTCCATTCATATATTCATTTATTCAGCAATTGCTGAGCCCTGTGGCAGAGCACAAAGGCAGCACAAGCTATAATCATATTTTGCATTTATGTAGAATTTTCATCCCATACAAAATTACTTCTCTGTTCTTGTTCTGCCTGCCTCGAGGATTTTACAGTATAATTGAGGAGACAGGGCTTATTCTTTTGTAACAGCTGCGTCTATAGACAAAGGTTTGGTATATTAGGAAAGTGCTAAAAAGAGTTTAAACCCAAGTGTGATCTGAAGGTTCTAGAGCAGGAATGATGGGAGGCCTGGTGATTGGCACCGAACACAGGGTCTCAGGCAGGACACAATTTGAGCAAAGATGAAAACTGGCAAAGTTGAGTCCCGCCTCAGAGTTAACATGTCAGTCAAGTGTTGGGCCATCTTCTGCTAAGGCTTCTTATTGCCCCATAAGACTAGCTGAGCAGGATCACCTGTGGGATTCAAGCCTGCCATGGAAGTCCTCTCTGGCTACTATAAGCTCAAGAATCTCTGGGTCTCTTGACCTGCTGAGCCTAGGTGGGGGGCGAGCCCCCCCCCAGAATCAACAAAGCTTCAGAGATCCAGGGCCAGCGCTGCCAGTGTTTCAAGGTCGCTGCGGTCAGAATACTTAAGGGTTCTTTCCTCTCTGAGAATCTTCTCAATCTGATTAAGATTCACACTCCCGACAAAGACTCATTTATGGGTACACAGGCAATGTGATTGATAGCCCAGGGGAGGGGTTGTTCCCAAAGGGCAACTCAACTATTGGCCAGATAAGCAAGCAGAGCCATGACATGTCTGGCACCAAGCCCCTGATCCTACCCACATTTCTCTCTGGTTTGTGAGCCAGCTGGGGAAGTCAATGTTGCACACTTGAAGAAAAGGTAGATTCTGGGAGAAGATGAGCAGCCCTGAGGGTCTGGTTGAGGCTGTACAAGGTCACAGTAGGAACTGTGTTTGTGCTTCATGCTTTCCTACAGGGACAGAGAATATAAAGACAGGAGCCTACACAGCAGCCTTCTCCTACTTCCAGAAAGCTGCAGACCGTGGCTACAGCAAAGCACAGTACAATGTGGGCCTGTGTCTTGAGCATGGCAGAGGCACCCCCAGGGACCTCAGCAAGGTACTGTTCTATCCCCAGACCCAGTGAGCTCAAATAATGAGCAGTAAGCAAAAGAGGTTAATAGTTCCACCTCTCTCCCTGACTGTTGGAGCCTAGCTGTGATTCCAAAGTAAAATATAGTAACTTAAAGAAATGTACTCAGGAAGTGGGGCACGGTGCCACACGCCTATAATCCCAGCACTCAGGGAGGCAGAGACAGGAGCATCTCTGTGAGTTCAAGGCTAGCCTGGTCTACAAAGCAAGTCCAGGAAAGCCAAGGCTACACAGAGAAGCCTTGTCTCGAAAACCAAAAAACAACAACAAAAAGAAATGTTCTCAGAACTCAAGGAGGGCAGGCACTCTGCCTTTCTTTGCACTCTCAGAGCCTAGATTGTGCCTTGATAAATAAACTAATAGTGAAATAGAAAGATAGGTGTGCAAGGGTGTCATATGCAAAATATTTTGTTGAAAGCTGGGTGTGGTGGTGCATTCCTGTAATCCCAGCCTGGGGAGGCAGAGGCAGGTGGATCTCTGTCAGTTCAAGTCCAGCCTGGTCTACAGAGTGAGCTCCAGGACAGCCAAGGCTACACAGAGAAACCCTGACTCGAAAAACCAAAAAAAAAAAAAAACGGAGTTTTTGTTGTTGTTGTTGAGCTGTATGTGAAGGGAAAGGGGAAAATCAGTTTAATGTTCTTAAATGTCTGTGGGAACTTAATAATATATCAGATCTACATCAACAGGGAAAGATATTCTTAGTGTAGTTATGTCTCTTTCACTGTACTAGTGTATATTCATACATAAATGTATAGGGCTGGAGAGATGGCTCAACAGTTAAACAGACTAGCTGCTTTTTCGAAGACCCAGGTTCAATTTCCAGTACCCATATGATGGCTCACATGCATCTCTAACTGTAGTTCTGGGAAATCTGACGTCCTCTTTGGCCTCCACAGGCACTGCACAAACATGCACACACATACATGAAGGTAAAACACCCATGGGCACAAAATAAAATAAGGAGTGTATAGACATAGACACAAACATACATGTGTAAATTTATGCAAAGAATGATCTTAATTGAACATGGTAACACACACTTTTAATTCCATCACTCTGGAGGCCAAGGCAGGGGGATTTCCACACAGTCCAATCTGGGCTGAATAGGTGGTAACAGGCTGCAGGAACTCTAGATCTAGACCTGTTCTCAAAAAGACAATAGATCAGAATACCAACAAAAAATCCTAGTGCTTTTTAGGAGGCAGGCCAATTTCTATTTTGGGTTTCTGTTTTTAATTTTTGACTTAACAGCATTTTACCTGACTAACCTGATTAATGATTATGTACTTATTTGAATGAATTTTTAAAATTTCATTCAAAAAAATTGTCAGGTTGCCTGCAGACTGATTATTTCTCCTGTTGCCCCAGGCAATCCTCTTTTACCACCTGGCTGCCACCCAGGGCCACAGGCTGGCTCAGTACCGCTATGCCCGGTGCCTGTTACAAAGTTCAGGCTCTTTGTCCGACCCCGAGCGGCAGAGGGCGGTGTCTATGCTGAAGCAGGCTGCAGACTCTGGCTTAACAGAGGTGAGTGCCACTGGTGGGTCTGTCCTAAGTGAGGTACACAGAGCCTGAGTGACCAAGTCTTTCTTTTCCTTCCTCCCTGACAGGCCCAAGCCTTCCTTGGAGTGCTTTTTACCAAGGAGCCGTACCTGGATGAGCAGAGAGCTGTTAAATACCTTTGGCTGGCAGCCAGCAATGGGGTACGAATGAGATCTCTGGTCCGCGCATATTGGGGATCAAGTCTGATAAGAAAAGGGATTTGGGAACTCGTTCTAAGCTCTGGGCTCATGATATGTTTTCCAGGAGCCTTGAAATGATAATGCTATCAATAATGGTATTCAATAATGCCACAGTTTTCACCGCCCCACTGTATGACCTTGGACAGGGCCACTGGGGTGCTGAGCTTTAAAGACTGCTCAGGTGAAGATGGGAATCCTTTCTTGCAGATATTGTGAAGTTTGGCTTCACAGCAGGGCTCCTCTCTACCAGCCTCCCGGCCTGTTGCTACATATTCACCATATCACTTCTTGATTCCCTGTAAAATAAGCATAAAATGCCACCCCCCCTCCAAGACAGGGTTTCTCTGTAGAGCCTTGACTGTCCTGGACTCACTTTATAGACCAGGCTGGCCTCAAGCTGGTCTATACAGCTTGATATTGGTCTGCCCCTGCCTCCCCAAGTACTGGGATTACAGGCGTGTGCCACTGTGCCCAGCAAAATACCTACCTTAATATCTGCTACTTCACAGGGTTGGTGGGCGAATCAACCAAGATGGCAGGTATGAGAGCTCTCTGTAAGCGGTTCCCATGACTAGCCATCGTGGTGGGGATGTCAGAGACATACAGAGAAAGGAATACCTGGTTATCTGACCTGGTGTTGCCATTCAGGTGGCAGTTTGTTCAACAGGGAATGGTTTCCATGGGATGCTGAGGAGGAATGCCAGGGGAATGATTACTTGGATCTCAGGAGCGCTGAGTGTGAACAGTTGTTCTGGGTGTAGACAATCTCAGAGCTTTTTAATCACTGAAATGCCAAGGTGGTCTGTGGTTCCTCGGATTGCTCAGCTTATTGGATGAGTATGTGTGTTTACTTGTTCCTGGAAGGTCAGGAGTCCTGGATTGGAGCAGGCAGTGTGCCCTGCCTGCATAGGACACCACTGCTTCTCTCTGTTCTCTGACCGGCAGGCTGACAGCATTATTGAATCAGAATACTTAGCCTTAGCCACTCTGTGCTGCCCATAGTATTTGTTGTACCTGACAGAAGAGGACAGCTAGCCCAGCCAGTGACCACACTGTGACTGTTCTTCCTCCAGAGTGGGCCTGGTGTCCATATGCCAGGTACACCTTGAACCACCTGGCCTGCTAGGGTCAGACTAGCATGCCAAAAGGAGACAGGTACAAAGGGATATCTGTCGCTCCTTATGGAGCACTGTGTTGGGACACAGCCCTTCCACTCTTCAACCTTCCAGAAACTGGGTCACTAAGGGCTTATACTGAGTAGTGTTGTGGGGGTTAGGGCTTACATATTGCCTGTGGCCTTGTTCTGCCCTGGCCTACAGCTCCAAATCTACTGTATTTATTATAGACTTTGGCCTGCATGTCACAAATGTGGGATCAGAGCATGCAGCAGAAACCTGTGGAACACAGAGGAGAAATGGAACCATGGTTGGGAATCTGCAAAACTTTTTTTTTTTTTTTTTTTTTTTTAAAAAGGGGGGGATTAATTATGTTACGAGCTCTCTAGCGAGTGAGGAGAGCTCAGTGGTGTGAATAACCAGAGGGGAATATGATGCTAGTGGCACTGACCTTAGCACTTTGATACAGGGACAACCTCAGCAGGTGGTTTCCCTATTATCCTGTCCTGTAAGTGAGGAAGCTGAGGCACACAGGTTGGAAGCCAGAAAGGCTAGCTGTGTAAGTCAGGCTCCTAATGCCTACTTCTTTGATCTCAAAGAGGAGCACCATGTCTGAGGAGAGAGAGCCAGGGCCTCTTGCTTGTGCTCTGGTTTTTGTTTTGCTGTCCTTTCAGGTGAAGTCAGGGAAGCAGGCTGGCAGGGTGGAGTCTCCCTGGGCAGAGGAACCTAATGCCCTAGGCAAGACTGAGCCTCTGGCATTTCATGGTTGAGGAGCTTGGAATGTGGCAGGCTGCACAGATGAGGACCAGTGTGTCTGCCTGACTCCACCTCCCTCCTGGCCCAGCGTCCCAGCTCTTCAATTTGTCTGTCTTCTCTTTTAGGACTCTCAGAGCAGGTTCCACTTGGGAATTTGCTATGAGAAGGGTCTTGGTGTACAGAGGAATCTGGGAGAGGCTGTGAAGTGCTACCAGCAGTCAGCAGCTATGGGGAATGAACCTGCCCAGGAAAGGCTTCGGACCCTCTTTAATGTGGAGGCAGCAGGTAATGCAAGTCAAGGCCATGTTCATTCCAAGCTCAGTGCCCTGGGACAAACAAGGGCAGTAGCCCAGGTCTCCTTGTCCTGGCCCCAGTGGTAGTTAGAAGCCCAGCTTTCAGAGTGAAGTAAACTTGTGTTGTGACCTCTGCTGACACTAAACTGGGACTCCATGCTTTCCAGACGTTTCTTCTCTAACAGTCAGAGCAACAGTAGAACAGTAGAACTCCTTAGCTTATTTAAGCACTAAATTTCAGCAGTAAAGGTCTTAACATAACTAGTCATGGTGGTGCATGTCACAGCATTTGGGATGCCAAAGCATACATTCCCAGATGGCTTGGGTAACATAGCAAGACACTGCCTTAAAAATAAAAAATAAATAAAAAAAGCAAAGCAGAGTCTAGCACGTGGTAAGTATTCAATAGACCTACCTTTCTAGGGCTATGAGAGTCCCACTGACTGAGCTGGGCCCGTTAGCAGTGCCAGAGGAATCAGAACCTTTAAGAAGTCAATGCCCCACAGTCATGCTGGGGCACACCTTTAATCCCAGCACTCGAGGCTGAGGCAGGTGCATCTCTGAATTCAAGGCCAGTATAGTCTATATAGTAGGTTACAGGACAGACAGGACTGTGTAGAGAGAGCCTATCACAAAGCCCCTGCTCTGAGAACTGCTTGAGTAAGCATTGCTGTCACTTCTTTTTGTAGCCCCAGGGCCCAGCCACCTGGCCACAACAGGACTGAAGTCTTTCTCCAGCCCTTCCCTCTGTAGCCTGAACCCCCTGTTGGCAGGTGCCTCAGGCCTCCCTCATGCTTCAAGCACTGGGAGTCTTGGCCTCCTCTGCAGAAGTGGCCATCTTGGAGTCAACCATGGAGCCCCTGGCAGGCCTGTACCATCCTTGGAAAGGAGTCTCGTGAGACTGGGTTTCGGCTAAGGTGAGATAAAATTCAGCCCTGGCAGTGCCATGCGGGCTAGGAAGAGGGTAGGCTGGAGGTTGGTGGCAAAGATTGGGTATTGTAGCAGTTCTGGTTAGTGCTCAGGTGCATGACTTTGGCCTTTTCTTCACTTTAACCCTGGCAGAAATATTCCTTCAGAGACCCCCTTGTTTGTCACCTTCACCTTGTTTTTGAACAAATAACTAACCTTCTCTGTACCTGTGCCTCAGTTTCCTCACCATTAGACCATACCATAGTTTGCCAAAAACCTTTGACATGTGCATGCCTTCGGAACTTTACAGGGTTTTTCGTGGCATGAAATTGATGCTTTGCTTTAGTGATTTGTTTAATATATAATGCCAAATATAATAGCAGATCCAGAAGCGTGGCAAAAGTGCAGAGGTGTTCCCTGAGTGTCTGAAGCTCGGGGAATTCTGAGTTGCCCCAGCATTCTCACCTTGTTCATCTCCAATAGGCTCATGATCGTTTTCATATCTGATATGGGGGAGGGGTTGCCTGAATGCTTGCATATGTCTGCTCGGGTTTTTTTCAGTCCTCCATATTAATGATGGAGCCTGAGAGTTCTCGGAAATACCACAACTTGAGTCCCAAAGAAGAGGCCAGTTCACTATTCACCTTCCGGGAAGCCATCAGTACCTCTCCAGCACCATAAAGAAGAGGAGTGCGTGTAAAGACCCAGCTCTGGCTTTGCCACTGGTCTGCCTGTGCCACCTGGAAGCAGTGACGTGGTTTCCCAACATTGTTTCCTCAGTTGTAGACCAAGGGCTGTAGTGTGTGCCCCCTGCCTTAAAGGAATGAGGTGCAACCTTTCCACTGCAGAAAAGACTTTACCCTTGCTTGGGTTCCTGAAGGCAGAGTAGTGCCTGCAGTTCCATGGCCTTAAAGAGTCACCAGCCTGCTAGGCATGGTGGCACACCCCTTTAATCCCAGTACTCAGAAGGCAAAGGCAGGCAGATTTCTGTGAGTTCAAGGCCAGCCTGGTCTACAAAATGAGTTCCAGGGTTGCCAAGGCCATTACCCAGAGAAACCCTGTCTTGAACCCTAACCACCACTGCCAGAAATAAAGAATCACCAGGCCAGGATGGGGATCAAAGCTGACATCATGACTCCAGCCCAGACTTCTGGTCTACCAGTTCATACTGCAGTGTTATTTGAAAACATTATCATCACCCTGCAGATGTGGAGATATCAGTAGAGATTAGGCATGTGGAGAGTGGAGGCCATGAGTCCATTTTGGGAAAGGTCAGCTAGGAATACAGAAGTGCTTAATAAAACAGATGGTGGATTATCTCTCAATCTTGCCTTTGTAAGTGTGTTGGGGGAAGCCAGGGAGATGGGGGCGGGCTGGAAGCTGAGGCTCCATCCTCCTCTCTAAACTCTCCATTAACCAATTGAAAGGGTCTTAAAAGCTCTCCAAGAGAGAGACTTAGAAAAAAAAAATTACTTTCTGAGTCAACACTAATGACTCCAATTACTGAATTTGTGAATAGCTGTTCCCTGGCTTCTGGAAATTAGCCCAAGTTCAATAGCAGAAATGTGGTTGTGGGTAGGGGGTGGGAGGAACTGAGGATCAGCTCCACTTCTCCCACTCCCCCGCAACTATTTCCTTGCCTGGCCAGCATGGTCAGTTCAAAGATGGGAGGCTTTGGGAGGGAAGACAATTCACATTTTCTTCAGCCCACCCCTACTTCTCCCAACTTCTGTGAGGTCTTAGCTATAGTGTTCTAGTACCTTCCTTCCCCTGAAGACCCCGTGCCTCCCCCGTTCCCTGCTTTCTTCTCAGATTTGCCCTATACTCCATCCTCACCCCCACTGGACGCTTTACATGCCACCTTCCACAGACTATGTTCCTTAGACATGGGCATTTAGAGCAGTGTCCCATGCAAGGTGAAGCCCTGCAGGACACTAACCTCTATGGCAAAATTTAAATACATACATACATATATACATACATACATACATACATACATACATACATACATACATACATACGAAATGTTTCTGTAGTCAAATAAGTTTGGGAAGCATTGCCCTAGCTGGCCCCTTTTTATTGATTCACAATATACATCAGAATAGTCAGTTCTAAGAAGCCCAGAGAAGTGTCACCACCAGCGTTCCAAGGAGTCTCACTGAGGTCATTTGGGTCCCCAGAGCCATGCTTGCTTCCCCAACCATGTATGCCAGCAGTGGATCCCGGTGAACTGCAGTGATAGTGCAAGGAACCTCTCCAGCTCGGTCTGCTCTGGGTACCCAAGTTGGGGGCGGGTATTTCTCACCCCTCCGGTCTCAGAAGAGCCTCTGCCTGGGGAGAGGACAGTAGAAGTCGTAAGAGATGTTGTCAGGGGTTCCAAAGCCGTGGCTGTGCAGTCATTGTAGCCTCCATGCAATCACTGCAGTCTCCGTACAGCCCCAGGGGACAGGCAGCATGGGCAGGCCTGAACTGCTGTGCTGCCATTAAAATTCTATTAATGACTCATCAGTGCCCTGAGGGAGGGAAAATGTGAGACGAGGACAGGGAGGTGGCCCCACAGCAAGGCTAGCTAGGTTTGGGTACTGGGGGATGCAGGGTTCCAGGCCAGGCCATGGAACCAGTCCCTTAGCTGTGAGACCTTTGAGCAGAGCTGTACTGATGCTCCATTCAGGAAGCCGTGATACCATTCAGATCATTAGATCTGATTGTTAATACAGTGATTGCAGGACATGGAGATGCTTGGCAAATGCTTATTCAACAAATGGTGATTTTGTGCACCCTATGTACTCCGTGCCCAGCAACAAGCCCACACATAGTAGGTGTTTTAAAGAATTGTTTGGTGGATGGATGAATGATTCTCTATGCCTTTCTCCTCTATGCCTTTCTTCTCTCTGATCATTATGCTACTTCTGACACTTAGAAATTATTTAAGACCTAGCAGTTTAAGAACACTGAATGTTCTTTGAGAGGTCCCGGGTTCAGTTCCCAGCACCCACATGGCAGCTCACAAATGTAACTCCAAGATCTGGCACCCTCACAAAGACATACATACAGGCAAAACACCAGTACACATAAAAAAATTGTTTAAGAAATGCAAAATATTGCCAAGTGTGGTGGTTTATGTCAGTAATCTTAACACTCAAGAGGCTGAGGCAAGAGGATTATTTTGAGTTCAAGGCCTTCAATGAGAGACTCTGACTCAAGCAAGTTTATTTATTTTCTTAATTTTTTATTTTTATTATTAGTTACATTCTATTAACTCTGTGTCCCAGCTGTATCCTGCTCCCTCATTCCCTCCCAATCCCACTTTCCCTCCCTCATCTCCTCCCTGCCCCTTTCCAAGTCCACTGCTTGGGGAGGACCTCCTCCCCTTTCATCTGACCCTGTTTTATCAGGTATCTTCAGGACTGGCTGCAAAGTCCTCCTCTGTGGCCTAGTGGGCTGTTCCTCCCTTGGGGGGTGGGGAGGTCAAAGAGCCTGCCATTGAGTTCATGTCAGAAATAGTCCCTGTTCTCCTTACTAGGGAAAACCAATTAGTTACTAAGCTACCACAGGCTACATCCGAGCAGGGGTTCTAGGTTTATATCCATACATTGTCCTTGGTGGAGTATCAGTCTCAGAAAGGACCCCTGTACCCAGATATATTTGGTCCTTATGGAGCTCCTATCCTCTCCACGTCATACTAACTCCCCCTTCTTTCATATGATTCCCTGCACTCTGCCAAAGGTTTGGTTATGACTCTTAGTATCTGCTTTTATACACTGCTAGGTAGAGTCTTTTAGATGCCCTCTATGGTAGGCTCCTGTCCTGTTGTTTTCTCCTACGTCCAATGCCCATCCTATTTGTCTTTTTAAGTGAGGATTGATCATCTTACCCCAGGTCTTCTTTCTTGTTTATCTTCTTTAGGTGTATAGATTTCATTATGTTTATCATATCTTATAGGTCTATATAAGTGAGTGTATACCATGTGTGTCAAGCAAGCAAGTTTATTGAGTGATGTTTATATATGCTTTCATAGTATATATACACCATTCTTGGGAGGAACTAGACAACCCTGACCTACTTGGCAGGTAAATAAGATGTACCAAGTCGATCCTCTGCTAAGTCTCCCTCCTCCCCAATCCTATCACTTTTGGGAATTTGGTTCCCTCCAGAGTCCCGAGGGTAATGTTGCTGTCTCATTCTTGTTTCAGCCAGAGGAGAGGTAGGGTCAGTGCGCTGCCAAGCTGACAGTGGGTGACAGGCGAGAAGGCTGCCTGTCAATCTGAGCTGCCCCCAGGCTGAGTGAACACTGCATGACACTCTCGGTGCTGGAGAACGGTTGACTATTGATTTAAAAAAAAATAATGTCCCTCTGTGCTTTCCAAATTAAGACGACATTTAACTGAGTGCTGGCTGGCTCGCCTGCTCTCCCTGTCTCTCAGGGGACAGAACCCATCTTGGTGGAAACTGTTTCAAGTATGTCCAAAGCCTCAGCTTTGACATCTTGGCTGATGTCAAGAAATTTCTGTAACCTTCCTGTTCAGCACACCCAGTTCTGTCACCATATGTACTGCCTTGCTCTGAGCCTATTGCAGGGGAAAATGCTGGTGTCAGCGTACTAGGAAGGGACATGTGATGCAGGGTGCAGCACCAGCTCTCACATTACACCCCCACTCTGAGGAGACAGCATTGCCCAGAAGTTCACTGAGTTCTGTAGGGAAGGATGAGGACAGATTTAGAGGCCGCAGTGGTCCTTAATCTTAGTGGAGTGAGAGTCACTTTGAAAATCCAGTGAAAGCACTGTTCCAGCCCAAAGGAAAATGCGTCCCATCCCTGCTCAGCATGCAGTTTAGCCACTCAGATCTGGAGGCTCAAATGCCATAGGTTAAGAACCTGTGATGGAAGCCAGATATGGTGGTTCACATGTCTGATAACACCACTCACGATGCTGATGGAGGAGAATTGCCAGGTGTTCAAGTCCATGGCTACACAGTAAGTTCCAAGTTGGCTTAGGTTACACTATGAGACTATCTTAATAATAATAATAATAATAATAAAATAATAATAATAATAATAATGTCAAATGAGTAGCTCAGCAAGGTAAGATGCTTGGCCCTAAGCCTGAAAACCTGATTTGGATGCTTGGATTGGTTCTTGGATTGGTAGTAGGGGAGAATTGACCTCTACAAGTTGTCCTCTGACCGTCACATGCCCGTGGTGTGTGTTCTACCTACCCACACCCACTAGAAATAATAAAAATTAAAGATGTAAGTGGCCAGACATGGTGATCAATGTCCTTAATCCCTGCATTCAGGCAGCAGAGTAAGGCAGATTTGGTGAGATCAAGGCCACTCTGGTCTACCAGGCCAACCAGGGCTACACAGTAAGAACCTGTTTGATTTTTTGTTTTTGTTGTTGGTGGTGGTGGTGGTTTGGTTTGGTTTTTCTAAATAGGGTCTCTCTGTGTAGCCCTGGCTATACTGGAACTCACTCTACAGACCCGGCTGGCCTCAAACTCACAGAGATCTGTCTGCTTCTGCCTCTCAAGTGCTGGCTGGAATTAAAGGAGTACATGACTGCCGCTTGATGAGACCCTGTTTCAAAGAAAGAAAGGAAGGAAGGAAGGAAGGAAGGAAGGAAGGAAGGAAGGAAGGAAGGAAGGAAGGAAGGAAGGAAGAAAGGAAGGAAGAAAGGAAAACCCACTGTGATGTAGAATATCATGTTAGATTCCAAATCCCTGACCCCATATCCTAGCTCTGCAACAAACTTGCTGTGTGGCCTTGTGCAGGTCACCCATTGTTTCATCTTTCCATATCCTTGGCTATGGATAAAGTGAGAGCTGAGCTCTTTTACACCGGTAATCCCAGTACCTGGGAGGTGGACTCAGGTGGGTCAAGAACTCAAGGTTATACTGAACTCTCATGAAGAGATGAAACAGTGAAACGTTCAGGCTTCATGTCTACAATGGTTCAGTGTCTCGGAGCCATGCTGTATGAACTTTTACAGGTCACATGTTTCCTTGGGGATCTTGTATCTTCTGCTCAGATAAAAATGTTTAAGAACAAAGTTTTGTCTGGTATGGAGGGATTCAAAGCCTGGAGTTTTAGGACTAGAGTGATGCAATGGTTTAGTGTTTGGTTTTCTTTCTTTCTTTCTTTCTTTTTTCAGGACAGGGTTTCTCTGGTAGTCCTGGCTGTCTTGGAACTCACTCTGTAGACCAGGCTGGCCTCGAACTCAGAGATCTGCCTGCTCTATTTCCTGAGTGCTGGGATTAAGGGCATGCGCCACCACCCCGTAGCTTGATTTAGTGTTTCCATGAACTGAGTCTCATCTATGGTTCCAGCATTCCTAAGTCATCCGCCACTCCATCTCTCCTCAACCTGCAAATCCACTAATAACTTTTGGGATCGGCATGGTCTACTTTTGTGCTATAGTCTTCAAATTTTGACTTTAGACAGCAGAACTAGAACCCCCACCCATCACCACCACCACCACCACCAGTTTCTACCTGGAGCACCAACATAAGTGGAAGGAAACTCTGAAGCATTTGTTTACCCATTTATTCATTCATATATCTACTCAACAAGTATTTCAAGTGTCATCTGTGCCAGGCATCTGGCTGGACAAGCTGGAGCTCCTTCTTGCTTGGTTTTCATTGCCTCTCTTAGTGGCCTGGAACCCAACAGCTCTGTGAGCCAGACTGACAACCACAGGTCTTGTAAGATCACCCTGACCTGGAGTGAGATGATCAGAGACCCAGACCTTGCCTTTGAAATGCTTAACATCTTCAGGTCTCATATGTAAGATGGAATAACCACTACATTCTAAGTGTGACAGGCATCAGCCCTTGATGGGACTATGGCTGGCCCAGCTACCAGTGAGAGTCAAGACCACTGAGCTCCTGAAGGTGACAGGTGAAGCAGACGATATCGTCTGCCTTCAGTGTCCAGAACAACCTCCATACTACCCTAAACTAGCCATGATTGCTTGGAAATTTCCAGGAACAAAAAGCCTTGGGAAAATGTTAGCTTTTTCTTCACTCTTCCCACCCCTGGATGGATGGCTGCTGTCAGTCCTAGTTCACAAGTCATCCTCTGGGGCATCGATTCTTAGACTCCAGCCTGCCAATAGAGAAAGACTTCCCCAGCTGGGGCTTCAGGTAAGATGACTTCTGCATCGGAAGCCTGGAAGAGGACTGGATTGGCACTGGGCAGATGCAAGCTCCTTTTACCCTGTGCTTGTAAGCATGGGCTCGTATGGACCTGAGTGCCTTCTATCTGCAAGCCTTCATCTCAGGGACTTTTCCTTTTCTGTTCCTTGGTTGGCAATCTAGTGCCATGGTTGATGGCACAGGCTTTGGTGTTGGGCCAGGCTTAGCACCAATCCTGGGTCTCTATTTCCTGATCAGTCTTGGGGAATACACTCAACTTTTCCAAGCTTTGTTTCTATGAAATGGGTAAAATAATATCACCAACTTAGCATGGGGGAAAAAAATCAAATTAAAGCCTAGTGCCTGGCTCATATAAATACCCTATTTACAGTCTTGCTTTACTTAGTCCTGATTTTCCATCTGAGAAGCATACTGTCGGATAACATATAGTGGAGTGGGGTCAAGGACACACACGCCCATTGTTTGCGTACCTGTCACTGTGAACCAGGTGTGACCCACTCCTACCTTGACCCAACAGGAGTTTCAGGCCAGGAGCTAGATGACAAACAGCCCTCGCTCTGATACTCTGTCCTCCCTCCTGTCGATTGAAAACAGAATGAGCTGCAGTTTTCCTTTTATTAGTAGGTCAGAGAGCATTGCCCGGCTCCCCCAGGAACCAGCCCCTACCTTCAGTCTCCAGTGAGGCTCTCCCTCTGCTCATGATACTACGCCATCTGTTCCTCCCGAGGGCCACCTCTTTACACTCTGTGTTTTACCACAAACTCCTGGGAGAAAAACAAGCCGTCCCTGTCTTCCATAAAGCTCAGCTACCCAGTCCACTACTAAGTCTGCTCCAGTCAGTTGCTTGTTTAGTCCTGGGCTCCTGCCTCCTCTGTGGGAATAGCACAGCATCAGTCACCCTAAAGTTAGGGGCCAGTGAAATCTACAATTTTAGAAACCAGCTCATTCCCTGAGATCCTCAAGGCCTGAGTGCCCTAACATTTCCCAGGGGACCCAGTCCCTGGATCGAAAGGCATCCCAGCCAAGCGTGTTCATAGATTCCTGCCACAGCCAAATCTGTCCTCAGCTGCCTTCTTTCTACCCAACTGTGCTTCAGAGCCCGAGGCTGCACTGGCGGCCAGGTCTAGGCTGAGGGTCCTGCCGCACACCGAGAGCCGCCTCAAAGCAGCGGATGCAGCTTCCACTGGCACCGTGTGCTGCTCCAACAACATCTCCAGCAGCGAGCTCATCTCTGAGACAAACGTGCTGGCCAGGCGTGTGCCTGTTGGGCTTAGCTCCGGTCCAGGTCCCGCAGTCTTGCCGAATGTCTGGAATGTTCTCGGTTCCTCTGAAGCTGCAGCATCAGGGGAAGACAAGTTGTCTCGGTAATTGGTGGTGAGGGGCAAGGACAGTCTCGCCATCCAGGCTGGGTCAGGAGGACTCAGCTTGTCCAGGGCTAGACCTGCAGAGGAAGGAGGGACACGGTGAGGATCTGCAGGGAAGGGCAGGGAAGCAGGGTGGGGTGGGGCTGTAAGCAGACCAAGAGCAGTGGACAAAGAAGGAAAGGGAAACGGCAAGGGACACACTACGGTGAGAGGGGGACCGGACGGAAGAGGCCTGGGCAAGGGACAGGCAAGTTCCCTGGGCAGGAAAGCTGCTGACCAAAGCAGCTGGAAGAGCTAAGTTAGGAGGAGCATGAGGACAGACAGAATTAGCCTGGTAGGGAGGAACACATCAGCATCCTAGCACCTGGGAAACTGAGGCAAGAGAGTCACAGCAAATTTGAGGCCAGCCTCATCTATGCTTTAAGTTCCAGGACAGCCAGGGCTGCATAATGAGAAGCTATCTCAAAAACAAACAAACAAAAAAGGAAAGAAATAATAATGACCACTTAGTAACTGCTCACGTGCCAAGAAATTGCGTATCTATCTCATTTCACCTACTCAGGCATGTGAGGTCAAGGGTCTTAGCTCCTTTTTAAGGATGATGAAACTGACCCTCAAAGAAGTCTTGTCCATGAGGTAACCTAGACCTAGGTCTGGTGACTTTGAAGTCCCTGGTAGTTCCCAACACTACCTACTCTCTGACATGCTATTCTTGCTCCTGGAGGCTCCTGGCATCCGCCTCTGGGATTCCCAGGGCTGTCAGGGCCTGCACTGTCACTATGAGGCCCCTGTCACCTCCCCCCTCACACTGTAACTCTTGCAAAGGCAGGAAATCCTGGTCTAGTGTTCAGCTGAAAAGGGGCTGCTTGCCTGAGGATTGTCCTGAGAAAGGGACAGGGCGGTGGCAGCGTCAGCAACAGCCAGGTGTTTGAGGCTTTAAAAAAAATTGTTCCCTAGATTCTCATGCCACCTCAACATTTCTTTTCTCATTTCTCCAACAGAAAATTCTGTCTCAAAATAATAATTCTAAAGGTTGGATGTGCTGACAAATGCCTGCTTTCCCAGCACTCAGGAGGCTGAGACAGGAAGATTGCTGGGAGTTCCAGAATTAGAATAGACTACACACAGAGTACTAGGCCTGCTAGGACTACATAAGACTCTTTCTCAAATAAGAACAAACAAACATGAATTGTTCCCAAAGCAAAGGCCAAACAAGAGAGAGAGAGAGCCAAATCTCTGTTAAGAAATAGAGAGAGATGAGTTTACTGTGCAACCTCCATTATGAATTCCGGGAGTTCATGTCAAGTAGTAAAATATTCATCAGTGTGTGTGTGTGTGTGTGTGTGTGTGTGTGTGTGTGTGTGTGTGTATGTGTGTGTGGGCTACCATAGTCAACATTGGATGTCTCATTCCATTTTCTTTCTTTTTCCTTCTTTCTTTCTCTCTCTCTCTTTCTTTCTTTCCTTTTTTGAAGTGAGTTCTTGCTTTGTAGCCCAGGTTGGCCTGGAACTCTTTATGTAGACCAAGCAAGTCTCAGACTCACAGGCATCACCTGCCTCTACTTTCTGAGAACTGGAATTAAAGGCATGCGCCACTAAACCTGACTTACAACTTATTTTTTGAGACAGATTCTCTCACTAAACCTAAAGCTCACAGTTCAGCTGGGCTGGCTGGTCAACAAACTTCAGGGATCCTCCGGTCTCTGCCTCCCAGGCACTGAGATTACAGAAGCACACTGTCACACCTGGCTTTTACATGGGTTTCAGGGATCCAAACTTAGGTCCTCAAACTTATGGTAAGCATGTCACCCACTGAGTCATATCAGCCCCATTATGCTCACATCTTCACATAGTTTTTGTTTTGTTTTTAAATCTAATCACCAAGTCCCCAGTCCTAAGTATATCCATCCAGTTCTTGTATAGCAAAGTCTTTCCCAACCCCTTTTCCTTCTTCCAGAGTCACTTTGCCAAGTGCCTTCTGGGCTGTGGAGAGGCAGGACAGGTCAAGGATTGAGTGAGCCCATGGGTTCCAGCCACAGCTGGTCAGTGGTAGAATTCAGTGATAGCTGACCACCGTCTGCATGTGGGTGCTGAGCCCGTGAAGTGGAGCTGGTGTGACTAAGGACTCCATATTTCATTTTATTTAATTTCACTTCATTTAAACTTAAATAGCCATCAGTGGCCAGTGGCTATCATACTGAACAGCAGAGCTCTGAAATTTAGAGCCATATTGCCTATGTTAATAGCTATTAGCCGCATGACCCTGGGCAAATTATTAAACACTCCTGACCCTCAGCTTTTTTTTTTTTCCTTTATGAAATGGGGATTACGAATAGCCCCTTTCTCTTCATATTTTCTCCAGAGAAATTTACAATAGGTGACTTGCACTTAAAAAGCACTCTGTCAATGCTAGTTATGGTCTTTAGCCCCCATTCCAGGGTAAAACCTGGAATGCTTTGCATCCAGATGGAACATGAGAGAAGTAAATCAGCTGCAGAAAGAGGATGGATGCCCAGGGAGAGAGTGGGTCCCCTAAAGGAGGTAAACCAGATGCCACTCAGCGTGCTTGGCTGGCAGAATCTAGAATGAAAATTCATATTATGTGTTTTTTGTTTGTCTTTTGTTTTGTTTTTAAGGCAGGGTTTTTCTATGTAGCCCTAGCTATCCTGGAACTCACTCTGTAGGCCAGGCTTGCCTCAAACTAACAGATCCATCTGCCTCTCTGCCTCCCAAGCGCTGGGATTAAAGGTCTGCGCTAAAAGTATTTGTTAAAAGTAATTGCTTTGCTTTCCTCTTCTTCCTCGTCTTTCCCTCCTCCTTCCCTTTCTTCCTTCTCCTCCTCCTGTTCTGCTTTTTACAGGATTTTATGCAGTCCAGACTAGACCAGAATTCATGCTGTGACTGAGGAGGATCTGAGCTTCTGACCCTCCTGCCTCCACTCCCAAATTCCGGGATTACAGGAATGTATCAACAGGCCCATTTAATACGGTTCTCGGGAATGAACCCAGGAACACTCTACCAAACCAAAACTAATTGTTTTCTATATATAAAAAAAAATTCTTTAGCTTCAATTAACACACCAAGGAGTTTTCTCTTTTCTGGAGGGAAAGGTTATTTAAATACACCAAAGGCAACGGTGTAGTTATGTCGATGCTGCCGAGGTTTGGGCACCCCAGCCAGGAGGAAGAGACGCTGGCAGCCTGCTTACTTCCCGAGCGGTGTTCACCTGTATATCGCACCTGACATCACCTACTCCCGGAGGACTTCGTGCAGGCTTTCCCGGTGCCTGGCACACTGATCAACAACAAAGTGATCTCTTACTCAGTAATGACACTAAGTCAAGCCTAGTGCTATGTTAGTCCTTTTTTTAATTTTAAAAAGATTTATTTATTCTATATGTATATGTATATGTGTGTATATATATATATATATATATATATATATATGAGTGTTTTGACTGCATATCTGTCTGTGTACCATATGTGTACCTAGTACCTGTGAAGTTCAGAAGAAGGTGTCAGATCCCCTGGAACTAGAGTTCCAGGTGGTTGTGAGCTGCCATGTGGGTGCTAGGAAATGAACCCAGGTCCTCTGGAAGAAGAGCCAGGGTTCTTAGTCACTAAACTATCTCTCCAGTCTGTTTATTATTCTTATCAATGATTTTTTTTTTTTAAAGTTGAACCTGGAGGCTGGAGAGATGGCTCAGTGGTTAAGAGTACTGGCTGCTTTTCCAGAGGACCTGGGTTCAATTCCCAGCACCTACATGGCAGCTTATCACTTTCTGGAACTCCAGTTCCAAGAGATTCAACACCCTCACACAGACGAATGTGCAGACAGAACACCAATAGACATAAAATAAAATAAATACATATTAAAAAAATAAATCCTAGTAATTAAACAAAGGAAAGCTAGGCATAGTGGCTCTTGCCTACAATCCCAGCACTTGGGGAGTTGAGGCAGGAGAATTTTGAAGAAGAATTCAAGGTCAGCCTGGGCTACATATTGACATAGTGAAACCCGTAAATAACCAAACCATCTTAAATAGCTAACCTAAACATACCACCACATAACTAAATACACAAACAGAAATAACCACTTTCTTCAGGGGAACTGAAACACTGGCCACACCCGTCTTCGCAGTAGATGGCAGCAGAACTCTGGAGCCCGGGTGCACTGGAAGATGACGGACACAGAGACAGCACAGGGAGGACCCCGGGGCATCCCTTACCTGTATGGGGGTCCAACAAGCTACACAGCTCTTCTTCTAGAAGTCGCTTCACAGACAGGTCCTCCTCGGGGATCAAGGGCCCTTCTTCCAAGTCAGGTTCTGCTTGGCCACCAGGCCTGACGCCTAGGCCGTCTGTGTCTGGGATGGCAGCCCTGAGGGAAAAAAAACCCAACCAGGTTTCAAGTGAGGAATCCCCACATACCTGTCTTCACAGCAGCGTTGTCATCTCTACAGGGAACAGGTGCAGAGCTTGGCTTACTGTGTCAGGGTGAACTGTGTCTCACATTCTCAGCCTTCCTGTGACTCTTTCCTCTACTACGAGATGGGAGAGTATGTAGTGACTGTCACAGGGTTTTATAAAATGAGACTCCGGAGGTGAAAGATTTAGCACAGTGCCCGGCAACAGGGTAAATAGGAGGCATCCAGAAGAGATAGGAAGCCATTGGGAATGTTGCTCACTATTGGACCCTCACAACTTGGATGGGTGTGGTACCGGGTGGCTTGCAGTAAAGTTCTTCAGTCAACTTTGTGATCCACACAGCACCAGCCAGGCAGGGCTTTTTTGCCGTCCCTCCTCCTTGTTCTCCTGTTGTGTGCTCAGAACATGGGGTGGCACACACTGGGTGTTGGGTAAACACTATGGAATGAGTGACTGTGGCTTTCTTCCTTAAGCCACACCCCAGAGCAAAGGATGTGAGGACACAACTGGACAGGGCATCCTTAAACCGCTCGTACCTACACCCCAGCTTCCAGGCTTAACCTGGGGGCCGCATGTCTCACTGATGCCCAGGACCTCTCACAGTCATTCAGGATAGACCCTATTTCTACAGGGCAGAAGTCTTCCAGAGGGTCTCTAAGGCCCACGAGTCCTAACTGGTTTGTCCTCATTTTCTACTGTGACTGTTTCTGCTGCTATTAAGATCGGCAGAAGGCAGCAAGCCGCGAGTATCAGTGACAACTACCCTAAGCCAGGCCTTGCCCTGTGCAAGGCGCTCATTGGTACACAGGCGCTCACTCACTGGAACCTCTCAGGCCCACGTAGAGGAGTCATTCCCATTTCACCGATGAGAAGATTTCTGCAGCTTGTCTAAGGATCCCGTGGTCTAATCAATTAAGCAAGAATTCAAATCCAGACCCGTGACTCTGGAATGTGAGTACTGTCACGGCTCCGGTAAGCATGCCAAAGAGGGAGGGCCTTTAAAGCTGCCCCTCTGACCTCCTATCCCTGGGCTCCCACCCCCAGGCAAGTGGATAGCAATCTAGAACTTCTTTCCCAAAGTAGGTCATAGAAATTAGAACTTTCCTCCAAAGCCAACCAGAAAGCCTAAAAACACGACCTGAACCTCCCCCTCACTTTTTGCGTAAGAGTCGGCAATAAAAAAACTCTCTGACTTGGCTAGCTTGATCACAGGTTCTAAGTCCCTCATTCCAAAAAGCACCTAGCCCATACTTGGAAGCAAGGAATGCTTGGTGAAACAGTCAAAAAGCTATGCAGGTAGGCCTTGATGGGAGCCCCCCCATCTAAATTTCAATTTGCTCATATCCTTTTTATCCACTTATATTTTCACAGGTATTCCTGCAACACTGAACCCAACCTTAAAAATGGGTCTTTGAATCTTCAACTAAAGGCTTTTATGTTGTATAAAACTATGATTTAAAAAAATATATATATTATTTAGATGAGATAAATGCCTCAATGGCTAAGGGTACTAGCCACCAAACCCAATGACTAGAGTTCAATCCTTAGGACCTATAAGATGGAAAGAGAAAGCAGACACCCACGTGTTTTCCTCTGTCCTCCACATGTAAACGCCCACCCACTCATATGCAAAATAAACAAATGTAAAATAATTTTTAAAAAATGTTTTGGCTTTCCACCTCTTCATTGGCCTATTGCCATTTTATTTCCACAGACCCAAATGTTGAGCCTGCAGAAAGAAAATGTTTTTCCATGTACCGTGAAGAACAGGATTTGATATCCCCTTCAGGTTTCTCCAGGACTGTCCTGAGGGCCACACCCTCACATCTACCTCCTTATGTAAGTGTGTTTGTAGGCCAAGAGAAAGAAAGGTAAAAGTTACAGGTTTCAAACCATTCAAGTAACTAGGGGACAGACAGTCAGAGGCAAGAGATGAGGTAATTTCCTTAGCGACACGGAAACCTGTAAATATCATAAATATAGTGGCCCCAGGATGGAGCTTCCAGAGTGGGGGATGGGTGGCCTAGGGGCCCGTAGGTGACTGTGCCGTGGGGTGCTGCGCATTGCTTACCTGCTGCTGCCGGGCTTGGCCAAGTATTTATTTCCTCGGTGGTTTGGTTTGGGCTGGAATTGGCCCTGATGCAGCAAGGACAGCAGCTGGGAGATTTGCTACAAGACAGGAAAAATCTGTTGACTCCACACAATTCCGACCGTGCACGCTTCCTCGCCGGATGTTTCCCTCAATGCTGCTGCTTTCTTTTTATAGTTTTTCCTCTGGCTTCAGATGCTTCTGTGATCAGATAGGGGGCGGGGGAATGGACCTGTGTGACTGAGTAAGGGACCTGGGGGAGGGCGCTTCCTGGCTTTGTCATGTCACTGCAGGCCCTGGGCAGCTGAAGGAGATAGCATGGAGACCCTTGGAGTGATCCCCACAAACTAGAGTGGCTGGTGGACTTTGAGGGTTGGAGTGAAAGAGGCATTTCCTGATCTTACAGTTGTTATTTTGATAAGGATTGTCTTCTAGTTATTTTCCCCTGTGAGCAGTATTCAAGCCTTCTGGCCAGTTTGTGTGGGCAATGTGTTAAGACTGCATTGTACAGGGAAGAAATGTATTTAACCAATTCACTTACTCACCCTGTCAATCAATGGCCATGTATTTAAAAGCATTTCTTTGTGCCAGGCATAGATGGGGATCGCCTGTTGTCTTTGGAAGCTCATGGTTTACAAGGAAGGCTAGGAAAGGGGTGACAGAGACTATCTGAGTTTTGGGAAGGAAGGGGCGAGGTCTATAGGAGCAGAGGTCTCAAATCTATTTTGGAGTAGGCAGGAAGTAGGGAGGTACTGCTATGAAAGTTGTCCATTTGCTTCCTTGTCCTTTGAGACAGGATCTTACTATGCTGTGCAGGCTATCCTTGAACTCTTGCCTTAGCCTAGTCCTGAGGGCTGGAACTACAGGCATGCGTCACAAAACCTGGCTTTCAGACAATTTAGCAAACACTTTTTTTTTTAATTCTGGCTGTGTGCCAGGAACTCTTGCTGAGACCTAGGGTTCCACAGGAATTCCGCCAGAGTCTGGGGGCGTCTAGACATCAGGAGAAGACAGCTTCTGTTGAGGGTTCTTGAAGGCCAGAAAAATTACAGGGTTTCAGCAGGTGGGAGAAGTGTGGATTGTCTAGCTATCAGCCCTGCACCCTAAGGTACTGTAGAGGAAGCTGACCTAGTCTCGACAGACTGAGCTCTCCTTCGGGGTCAATGGCTTGGGAATGTTCAGACAGATCATCTGAAGTGTATCTGCACTCTCTATAGCGTTGTCAGTGTTAATTAGATATGTTAATACTAAAAATGTTCTGCAGACTCATCAGGGATGTAACCTCTAAAAATGCTGCTTCCGGATGGCCAGGACTGTTTCATTGTGACTTGGGAGAATCAGGATCCCATAGCCTTTCTCAGGTAGATCCTGCCTCCCTACCAGGTCAAACGCCTTTACAAGGCAGACACCTGCTACCTTTTACCCAAGTGACAGTCAGTAAATGCAACCTAAAGGCCACGCCCAGGGCTGCATCCTGGCATTGAATCGCTTCACAGTTGAAACCCAAACTCTGGAGTTGAACTCACATTCTAAATCTGTTCCTGCCTTACCTCCCACCTCCATGACCCTAGAGAAGTCACTTTTGGATTCTGAGCCTCAGTTTCCTCAGCAGTAGGGGAATAATAATGAGATGGAGGTCACGTGGTGCTTGTGATATTTAAATGAGCTGAGGTGTGTGAATCACTTGTTGATAGAGCCTGTGGTAGCGCTTAGTAATTACCTGGTGACAGCTATCTCATCTGTACAACCCAACAGTGGCAGGAAGACGACATCATCCCATGCATTTTGTAGGGATGGAACCTGAGCTTTGCAGTTCTCACAGCAACAAGGCCTGGAACTTGAACTCATATCTGACTTTATTGTGGGGCTAAACTGTCAAAAAGACCTGGGCCTTGGGCATCTCGCTCTCACCCTCCAACTGATTCCAAATAGGTACCTTTCTGTCCATCACTTCAGTGTGTTATGCAGACTGTCTACTCTCTACTGTCATGTCCAGTGGCATGGCATAAGAATTCATTCAAAAGGCAAATGGCTGGGCTGGAGAGATGGCTCAGTGGTTAAGAGCACTGGCTGATCTTCCAGAGGTCCTGAGTTCAATTCCCAGTGCCCATGTGGTGACTCACAAACAACTATAAGAGGATCTGATGCCCTCTTCTGTCTTAGGCATGCATGCGAATGAAACACTCATATATATATAAATAAATTAAAAAATAAAGGCAGCTGGGTGAATGAATGATGTGGTTGGCTGTAAGTCCCTCTGGGTTTGCAGGGGACCCCAGGGTAGGATCCCTAAGAGAATAGCTAAGCCACCTCCAGGGGTTTCCTGGGAAGCGGGGTTTCAAAGGAAGCTGTGTCCTTGCTCCATGAGAAACCTGAGCTGACTGACATAGAAATATGTCTCTGATGCACAGGCTAGCACAGGATGGCTCTCTGGATGTCAGAGACACAGTTAAGGATATGTTAAGCACTATCCCTGAGGAGAACTCCTGTTTGTGTTAATACAGAGACCTGAAACATACTGTCCCTCATCATTCCATTACTCCTCCCTTCGGGACAATAGAGACCAAGCAAGTTTAGCTTTCTGAGTCCCATTCTGTAGATGAAGAAAACGAGACTCCAGAGTCACAGGTTAGTCTCTGTAGACTACAGTTATAAGTTGCTCTGTTTGAACTTGGATTTGCCTAACTAGCAGGGTTGTTTCTACTGTTCCGTTCTGTGGACCCAGCTGGTAAGCTTTGGGGGTCTCAGGCAAGTCAAATGCAGCCCCTGGAGCCTGGGACAGTGGTACCCAGGCCTGACTACTTCACAGAAAGGTTGCCTCGCCAAGATGAAGCAGCTTTGTAGAAGGGATGGAGAAGTGCTTTGTGGAGGTGACAGCACTCATTTGCTGAGGCTGTACTGCAGGCCACACAGACACAGCTGTCCAGGAGTTGCTACCACTATTAATTCGTTTTGTTTTTATGTAGACTTGGGAGGAAGATGTTGGTAAAGTGGAGACCTTCAAGACCTTCAACAGTTGAGCTGTAACTTCTCTAGGAGCCACAGGTGGGAAGAGGTAGAGCCAGGATTTGAACCCAGGCAACCTTACTCCACAGGTTTTATTCCTAGTCACTACACTTTGCTGTGTGTCTGCACGTGCCAAACATGTATAAGCACTTCACAGGAACTAGCTGGCTGCACCTCAGGACAACTCCACAAGGCACATACTTCTCACTGCCATACCTACTTCACCAATAAGGAAATGGAGACTCAGGAACAAAAAATTAGTCCAGGACCAGACAGTTAAGATCTGTTCACCCCGGCCACTGTGCCCATAACTTCTGCAACACAATGTGCTGGGTGAGTCTAAGGATGAATGAAAAATGAGGGTGTCTAATGTCCTGGGAGGGGGGGGGTTCCTAACACTTCTGCGATCACCAGAAAAAGAGCTTGCCCATGCCAGAGGTACCTGGACAGGAGGAGAATCCCCAGCGAGCTCCTCCACAGGGTTCCGTTCGGCAAAAGCAGCCACAGATAGCCGGACCAGGCTCCTCAGAATCTGATGCGGACCAGACTCTCCCTCAGGAGACACTTTGAGATTCCGCTGTCTTCTCAGAGTAGCCGAGGAGGTTGGCGGGCTCTGTGGGCCTTTATCACTGCCTTGGTCTCCAGCCAGCCTGGCAATGGGGCTGCCAGGCACCTTTGGAGGCCTCGAGTGTGGCTGCCCTAGGGCAAGTGAGGCCTCAGGAAGGCTTAGGTTCTCTCGGGAGGCGTTCCTCTGTCTGGGATGGTTGAAAAGGAAGTTGAATGTGTCCTGTAGTACCTCCTGGCTCTCGGCCGGTGCTCCCTGGTTGCCTTGGTTACGCAGGGTCCTGTATAAGGTTGGTGTGAGGTGGAAGGGTGCCTGCAGGCAGGAGTCCCAGCCTGCCTCCATCAGTGCCTCCTTACTGGTATCCTTGTGAGATGGCCTAAGTTCATCAGTCTCATCCTCCTGGGCCCTGAGCACAGGCACCAGGTGGATATCTGCCTTCTGAATGTGTTTCTGAGGCCTCTTGGGCTGGTGGCGGTAGGTGGACTCAGCTTCACGACAGTTGTAGGCCCTATTATCCTTTTTCTCTGTCCGGCAGATGGACACGAACAGAGCCAAGATCAGCCCAAAGATGGCCAGCAGTACAGCCAGGCAGATCATGGCCAGCGCTGGCGTGCTCAGGACCCCAGGCTTACGAGCAGAGTCCCTGAGGTGGTCCACACTGGTGACAAACATGACCCTCAACAGAATTTGGGTCTGCAAGGAGGGGCTGCCCCGGTCCTCTACTGCTATCCCCAGGTCCCACTGACTCCCAATTAGGCTGCTGGCATTGGTGACATTAATGAAGAGCTGCCCTAAGGTGGGGCTGAGGACAAAGAGGTGAGCATCATTCCCACTTCGAATGCTGTAGAGGAGCTCCCCGTTGGCCTCTGAGTCAGCATCTCTCGCCACAATTGTTACCAAAAGGAAGGACCAGGGGCTGTGGGTAACCATTGGTGGTGTACCAGTACCCAAGCCACTGGGATTGTCGATGGGCAACAGAAGGTGGCCCGTGGAGGCGTTCACAAGCACTGACAGAGTGGCTTTGCCTTCACTTAGCACAGGCTGAATCACTTCTGGGGCATTATCATTGGCATCCAAGAGGCTAACCCACACCGAGATGCTGGATGCCAGCTGGGGTTGCCCTCCGTCCTCTGCTATCACCTGGAACTCGAAGCCTACCATCTGTTCATAGTCCAGTGACTTCTGAGCAGTGACTTCTCCTGTTTCAGAGTCAATAATTACTAAGTGAGAAACGGGGGAGTTCTTGATACGGTATGACACTTTTCCATTACTGCCCAAGTCAGCATCGTGAGCTTTGAGAGTGATGAGATGAAGAGAGGGTGGGTTGTTTTCCCAGGTGGAGACCTCGTACCGGCTCTTCTCAAACACAGGGGCATTGTCATTGACATCACTGACCTGAATTCGGAGCTCCTGCTCAGCTGATAAAGGCTGGGGTCCTTGGTCTTGGGCGAACACGGTGAGAGTGTATATGGGCCACTGCTCTCTGTCCAGTGTGGCATTGGTAAGCAGCATGTACGTGTTGCCATTGGTCCTTTTCAGCCTGAAGTGGCCCAGCTCTTGTTTCAGCCAACAGTGGACCAGACCATTGTTTCCTGAGTCCAAGTCATTTGCAGTGATGAGAGCAATGAAACTGTCCCTGGGAAGATCTTCTGACACCAGCGGCATGTGGAAGGCCCATGTGATGTGGATGCTTGGAGCATTGTCATTGACATCCAGAACCTTGATGAGAACTTTGCAATGGCCGGGGATGGAATTGGGACCCAGGTCCCTTGCCTGGATATTCACCTCATAGGCAGGATTCTTTTCATAGTCTAGGGGTTGGCTCAGAATGATCTGGCCTGTCTTGGCATCTACACCAAAGGTGTTCATCACCTCTGGGGACACGTGCTTGCCAAAGAAGAACTCTACCTCCCCATTGGGTCCTTGGTCTGGGTCCGTAGCCGTCAGGTTTATGAGAAGAGTGCCAGGGGCAGTGTCTTCTGGGATTTCTAGTGCTAGTGAACTCTCAGCAAACACCGGACTATTGTCATTGGAATCCAGAACATTGACTTTGATCACACTGGTGCCTGACTTAGGGGGATTGCCATTGTCATGGGCAGTCAGCACCAGCTCAAAAAATGAGTGGACTTCCCGGTCCAACTCCTTCACCACCACAAGTTCTGCATGTTTTGTTTCATCCGGCCCCACAATAACCTCCAAGGCAAAATGTTCACTGGGAGACAGGAAGTAGGAATGCAAGCTGTTAGGACCAGTGTCTTGGTCAAGGGCTCTGTCCAAGGGGATTCGTGTTTGCAGAGAGGCACTCTCAGAGATTTCCAGCTCCTGTTCACCTTTGGGAAACTCTGGCTGGTGGTCGTTGATGTCCAGCACCTGAATCTCCACATGGATCAGGGCCCCTGTGGCCAGCACGTCAAAGGACACCAGGCAGGGCTCCTGCTGCCGGCATAGCCTCTCCCGATCCAGCCGGCTGGAAGTGCTGAGCAGGCCATCCTCAGAGTTCATCTGAATAGGCAGTGCCTGAGGCAGCTGTAGGATCTGGAAGGCATCTCCCGCCTTCCCACGCCTCTCCTCCACTCCCAGTTCTTGGGACAGTTTCCCTATCACCGTGCCAGGCTCCACTTCCTCTGTCACTTGGAATTTCACTGTGAAAGTCGCCACCTCCTGACAACCCCCTGAAAGGAACAAGTAGCTTCCTGGCCCCAGGAGCCCTAGCAGGAATAGCAGAAGTAGCATCATGCTTACCCCAGGGAGGGCTGGACTTGACCACTGGAGCTCTTCAAAGGCAGGACGTGGCCCCCAGTGGTTCCTGAATGGCTCGGTCAGCCTGGATCTTCCACTTCAGACCTGCTGGTAGAACTTTTTCCGATAATTAGAATAATCCATAATAATCCTGCTGAAAGAAGCAGGATTCCCAAGCAAGGCCATCTTCGTGACAAGTGATCGGAGAGGTCACCAAACAGATGAATTACTTGAAGAGATCCCTGCTCCACAGCAGCACCAGCTGGTCCACTTAGCAGTGATGGGCAAGTACCGGTCTGAGAGAGACTTGACCTAGTAAAGCAGGATGTAGGGAGCCGACTTCCAAACAGTTACTAGGCTGGGGAAGCAGAGAAGCAGCTTTTTCCTATGGAAACCCCACCTACAGGAAAAGGGAGGGCTGTGAGTTTCAATGGCAATTAGAGAAAGAGCATTTCCTGTGAGGCAGAGAGGGGCCTGTTGCTGAAGAGGATGAGGCCAGGGCTCCCGGGACAGGCTGGGTGAGAAGGTGCTGTCCATGCATCAAGGCAGCCAATGAGGGACAGGGAGTCACTGTGTAGCAAGTGAGCAAAGAACTTGACCTATACTGCTATCCCTCTAGGGCATGTCAGGCTCCGCATCTCTCTTTCTCATTTCCTTTTTTGCTTTCCACCCCGCAATCTTCTACCTTCTGCCTCAGTCTTTTTCCTACACTTGTTTGACTCTCAGCCTCAACTTGGCCCCAGTGTTTGTCCCTCTGAAAAGCAGCTATGATTAGTAGAACAGCCACAGGAGCTAAATGGCGTGGTTTCAAATGCTGACTTTGCAAGGCATCAGCTGGGTCTTCTGGAACAACTGACTTGACCTCTCTGAGCTTCTCTTCCTTCATCTTCAGAAGGGGGTGGGGAACAGAATAGTTGTCTTCACTGAAGGAAATGGTAAGGATTGGATGAAACAAGATATAAAATCCCTTGGCCTGGTCCCAGTCCCAAATCACAAACAATAATGTTGCTTGGGTAAGGGTATTGTAGTCAGCACAGCTTCTCTTACCTGTGGCTGGGGTTTTGGCCATGGCGTAATTTTTGTACACATTGACCCCAGAGGGTGCCCATGGCTCTACCAGAAGCTGTAAGGACCCGGCTGGTTTGACAACAAGGCTCCCTCCCCCATTCCCTTCCTGAGATCCTTGAGATCCATTGTTCTCTGCATCTGGTCCAACCTGAGTCCCAGTCTGGGGAACCCCCATCCTCCCTTCCTCTGTCTCAAACTCTTCACATTTCCTTCTCCCACACCTTCCTCTCCCTTTCATCTGTCTTTTCCTCCCTTCCTCCAATTCTTCTCAACCCACTTTTGTTTATGTGAGTCCTACAAACGGCAGCTGCCTGTTCTATGCCTCCACTCCCACCCAGAGACTTAAGGTGAGATCTCCCTCACATTCACCTTCTCACTGGGGCAAGGTGCAGGAAGGCAGAGGGGGAAGGTGGCCTGCATGGCCTTCTGTTTTCCTTAGTACGCTGCCTCCAATATTCTTCCAGCCTTATGCCCTAGCCTTATGTAGGTTTATTCTGGAGGTCTGTAAATGTTTGAGATGGTGGAAATTAAGGTCAGCTTCCCAGAGATGGGTGTCTGCTGCTGAGTCCTTGGGGCCAGAGATGTCCCATTTGGACACAGTGACACCACTCAGGCTTTGTTGGCATGGAGACCATGGCAGGCAGGCCTGGGGTGGCTGAGAGTTAGCCAGGTGCACTCCCTCCCCTTCCCCCTGCCCTTTCTTTCCTTCCATCCTGCATTTCACTCATGGAGCCTGTTCAACTATCTCACTGAGTCCACTAAGGGGGCCATTTCCTATGGCACAGCTTTGCTGACCTCTGGACCCTCACAGACAGAGCACAGGTGGCTTGAGTCTCTAGAGTTTCCTTCTCTGACAGTGTGTTGTCATCTATCTTATAATGTATAGTTAGGGATGAAGAAAGTGATACACACAAAGGCCTGGACGTGGGGCCAGGCAGAATATACTCAGCAGGCAGAGACCACCATTTTCTCTTTCATCTTGCAGGTTTAATGGCTCATATGCAAATATGAAATATTTTATGCATTTACCTCTCTGCTTTTTTCCTTTTTTTTTTTTCTTTTCCTTTTTCCCTAGTCTGGTCTCTCTTAGCTCTGGGTGGGCAAGATAAAGCTTATACTATAATGGGAGCCATGTGGTCCCTTCAGAGCACAGGAACACAGTAGGTGTTCATTGCTCTCTGACAGCTTCATTGCCTGACCCTTACTCATCACTACTAGTGTACCAGGCAGTGAAGAGACCATGAACCCCAAGGACTTACGGTCAATGCAGAAGAAGGGGAAATGAAAAAGTGAGGCCAGTGCAGGCCAGGCGCTGTGGCCTGTGGCCCGAGAGTCAGCAGCAGGGCCTCGGGCAGGTGCTCAGTGATCCCTTGGTGGACAGTAGTAGTTCACTAGGGCAAGGGACGAGCAGAGAAAGACCAGGCAAACCAAAGAGGCAGACTGGGTAGAGATTGCAAAGTAGACAAACTGCTTCCTTCCTTATACTGAATCTGGAGGGTATATGTGGTACAGAAGAAGGAAGATGGGACCGGGATCACTTGATAATGAAAGCTCTCCTAGGAAGGACCTAAAACTTGTTCTGGAGGCTGGAGGAGCTTTGAGAAAGCCCTGAACAGGATGATGAGATCAGCAATGACTTGGCATCCTCTCTCCTGAGTGATTTACCTACGTCCTCTTGTTTCAGCCCCACAGCCAAATCATCAGGCTAAAGAGATGAACACAGGGAGGAAACTTGTCCGAGGTCTTACAGATTTGTCTTCCAGAAAGCATCTTCTGCTGCAGCCGGGAAGGCCAGAGAGAGGGGAGACCAGCTGAGAGTCTGCAGGAGAGAGCCTAGATGCAGAAAATGCTTCCAGAATGGGAATGTTTCCAGAATGCCATCTGGTGGCCAAAGGCAGAGAACAAAACAGGCACAGGGGACAGTCACCAACCTGGGAGGGTTCGTAGAGCTATGCTGCACAGAAGAACACAACCAGAAAAGATACCACAAATAACAACCCGTCTCTTAACAGACGACCCAACCTGGGTGTGGAGGCACTTGGGAGGTAGAGGCAAAATGATGAGGAGTTCAATGCCATTCTCCACTATGTAGCAAGTTGGAGGCCAGCCTGAGTTACATGTGATGACCCTGTCTCAAAATAGCAACAAGAGCAAAAGATAACCCGTGCCCAGAAGAATGGAGTTGATGAGTTTATGTGTGTTATTTATATTTTTTAAAGAAATGGCTGTGCATATATAGCATTGCCATACATAATTATATACATATTAATCAATACAGGTGCTCATGCATGCCTATGTGTGTTATAAGCGTGAGTACACAATACGAACCCACATCATGAGTCTTTGAATTTATATTGCACATGTGTTTTGCTCTTCTTGTTTGTTTTGGTTTCAGGGTTTCATACAGCTGAGGCAGAGGACGGCCTTGAATTCCTGGTCCTCCTGCCTCTGCCTCTTGAGCATTGAGATTACAGGTGTATGCTACCTGTAACATATGACAGCTTGTTATATGTGATTTTGTTGTTGCTTTTGTTTTTATAGACAGGGTTTCTCTGCGGAGACCTGGCTATCCGAAACTCACTCTGTAGACCAGGCTGGCCTCAAACTCAGAGATCTGCCTGCCCCTGCCTCCCGAGTGCTGAGATGAAAGGTATGTTAATGCGGGTTTTTGGTTTGTTTGTTTTTTGTTTGTCTTTTGTTTTGTTTGTTTGCTGTGTGTTTGTTTTATTGGCATTGGTGACTTGGAGCTAAGCCACCCCTCGGAAGTGCTGAAGGTTTATGAAACAAGATGTCAGACTGTCCACAGGTGCCTGCCGCTGGGAGCAAGGCCTCCATTTTGCTCTTCTCCCTCCTTCCTTCTTCCAGACCTTTAGCAGCAGCCTGGCAAAGGGTGAGTGGAGCTGTTACTGTAGTTTGTTTAGAAAGATTTCATTTCCTTGAATTTTGAAAAAAGTTTGGAAGGGGCAGAGGTAGTATTTGAGATGGGTTTGGAACAGCTGAGCACAGCCTCCCTCAGGTCCTAGAGATTGTAAGATGAGGAGAGATAGATAGCATGGCATTGCTCACTACCCCCACCCCACCCCCAAGCCTTGAGGCGACTCCTTGGCTATAGTGAGGAACTGAGAGGTGAGATGAGAAGGGTGCAAACCAAAGATCTTTTCAGAACACTTGGAACCTCAAGGGCTCATGCTAATAAGACACAGAATTGTCTCTTGGGACACTGACAGGACAGCTAGATAAAGGCTAAGCCCACCCACTCAGCATAGACATTTCTGATCTGGCCTTCTAGATTGGCTTTTCCTGAGACTGGTCTCTAAGACAGCTCCAGTGAGGCCTGGAAGCATTGACCTCAGGATTATTCCACTCATGAAGGTGGCTGGACCATTCAAGGTCACCTTCCCTTTAGAGACAGATCTTGTTGAAGTGAGAGCCAGGAGTCTTTGTTTGTTTTTGTTTTTCAAGACAGGGTTTCTCAGTGTGGAGCCTTGGCTGTCATGGACTCACTTTGTAAACCAAGCTGGCCTCGAACTCACAGTGCTGGGATTAAAGATGTGTGCCACCACCACCACCAGGCTCTGAGAGACAGCCAGGAGTCTTGACTAGAGGACTCAACTTTGTTATTCTGGGTCACCTGCTCCTGGCATGGCACTTTGGGACTTTACTGGAATAGGTGACAAATGTCAAATCTCACACCATGGCATCTCCTTTTAGACAAGTACAGAAAGAAAAATGGACTTTGCAAGGAGAAACTTGCCAAGATATAGGACTTTTCAAGAAATGAAAAGGTGCTCTGTCTTAGAAAAGAGTGGTAGTCCTCAAAGGGTCCACACAGGGAATGACTTGGAAAGCTCTGCGAAATGCCAGAGTCAGGGTAAGAAAATTCACATTACTCCTTTTCCAGTCTCCCAAAGAAGATTATTTCTATCTCAATTATCACTCTTTCTAGAAGGCCTCTGCTTTCAGATCATTGGGACAGGGCTTGGTGGGGGGGGGGGGGTGAATGGATTCCTTTTCTCGAGAGATTTATGTTGTCTACATAATAAGATGGAAAAAATAACAATGAAAATTAAAGATGGTATGGTGAGAACACTCCTGGAGAAAACAGGCTGTAAAGGAAGTAGAAGATGAGTAGGACTTTTGAAGAAGTTGTGACATTTCAGGAAAGTTTTGCA